TGAAGAAATTTCAACAAACTGTGTCTGTCAATGAAGTAAAAACAGAAGCACGCGTTCGTCCTGGTGGCTCGAACGAAAATGTCGCAGAACTTACAAATTGCGAAAACTTTTTTGAAATTTTTTTATACTACCAGCACTACCAGTTATATTTAAATTAATAAAACCTGAAAATCTGTTTGCACGGGACATCAAAGACATGTTAATAAATCAGGAACCGTATTGTTTAAAAGACTGTAGTGTGATTGTAGTTTTAGAGTAATTGTTGGATTGCAAAAAATGTGAATCTTATAGTTCTAAATTGAATGTTGTGACGCTATTTCAATTTATGTTATATATACGGTATATGCCGTCATCAATGTTGAAATAAAAATTGCTATTATTACTATGTTTTATTTAAAATTTAAGTGCGTCGTTCTCATTGGAACGCCCTTCATTAATACAAATAAGGGTGTGTGTCGCAGGACGCTCGACAGAAGCCATAACTCCATATTATTAATAGAAACCATCAAATATTGAACTTGTTTAACGCATGACAGCAATACTAATTTATGATTTCAACATTCTTGTTAAAGTTAGAGTTAAAGGCTAATATTTTATAAATGTATCAGGAATAAGTAAAATGTAATTTAATTTTCTTTTGGATGTAAAATTTACATTATGTTTACAACATTTAACATTCTTCAATAGTTGCAGTTGTCTCGCTGGTATTTAATCAATTTTATCATCTAATCCTCTACAGCAATTTCTGTTTGTGCAAAATTTAAAATATTGAATATAATAATTTTGTCAATTACATCAAAAACAATTTTAACTCGATATATTCAAAAGAGTTAAATTTAAGCATGTGATGTTTTATACGAATTTTCTTTAGGATGTCGAGGAGAATTCCATTTATGAAAAAGGAACTGAACTTTGCCGTAGCTTTTTAGCTGATCCTGCATCCTCATTTTGTATGTAAATAGACTCGAAAGAACCTTTCAATTTTCGTATTAGTCATTTTGTTGTAACTCTCTCAGCTTAGGAAATGATCTACCGTTTCCGTACTTGTATGATACATAAGAACACATGACCAATTCGTAAGACGAAAAACTTCCAGTGGATGATACCCACATATGCAAAAGTTGACGAAATCATTCCAAAGGACTTCCGGCCTCTCCGGCGGTTTCGTTTTGCTGTTTGTGTCCCCCTGACGATAGCAACACCATCTGTCAAAAGTTTTATATCACCTTGCGGTTTTCCCTTAAAAATGACACAATATTTGTATAAAAGATTTTCATTTATTTGCTGTAATTTCCGAGATATATATATGTATATATATAGAATGTTTTTTTAAATGAGTCAAAGCATAATTAGAATCGCAAGTTCGCTAAATAACTTGGGCTAGACCTAAAGAGGCTTTGGTCTCGTTAAACGTGGTAATCTCGTTAAGAAACTCACGTAAATGTAATTTATGAAAATTCGACCCTCAAGTGCAGTTAAACAACTTCAATATTATCTAACTTTTCATCAACTCTAGTTCTTACCAAAACGCATGCCAATACATCCACTTTGAGAAAGTAATATCCACCAGCAAGATGTCACGGGTTTACAAATTTCATTTAGGATTTGGAACGACTTCATGAAAACACGGCTTCCAAGATTAAAAAGTTTTGCGTCAAGGGATTACAGCCAAAAGTTGACAATTTAATAACGTACAAGAAACC